AGTCAGCAGTGTGCCCTGGCAGCCAAGAGGGCAAACCGCATCCGGGGGTGCACCAAACACAGTACAACCAGCCAGTCAAGACAGGTGATTATGCCACTGTGTTTAGCATTGGTGCGGCCTCATCTTGACTACTGTGTGTGGTTCTGGGCCCCACAAGTTAAAAAGAGTGTTAAGATACTTGAATGTGTCCAGAGGAGGGCAACAAAGCTGGTGAGAAGGCTGGAAGGCATGTCCTGTGAGGAGTGGCTGAAGACTTTGGGCTTGTCTAGTTTGGAGAAAAGGAGGCTGAGGGGCGACCTCATTGCTCTCTACAGCTGCCTGAGGAGGGGAAGTGGAGAGGGAGGTGCTGATCTCTTCTCCCTGGTATCCAGTGATAGGACATGTGGGAACGGTTCAAAGCTGCACTAGGGGAGGTTTAGGCTGGCCATTAGGAAGCATTTCTTTACCGAGAGGGTGGTCAAACACTGGAACAGGCTTCCTGTTGGAAGTGGTCGATGTCCCACGCCTGTCAGCGTTTAAGAGGCATTTGGACAATGCCCTTAACAACATGCTTGAACTTGGTGAGCCCTGAACTGGTCAGGCAGTTGGCCTAGATGATCATTGTAGGTCCCTTCCAACTGAAATAGTCCATTCCATTCCATTCCATTCTAACTATTTAAGCATGTGCAACACTTTAAGGACTATGAATAGTCTTATCAGTGTAGAAGGATAAAGGATGCCATTACATTTTCAGTATGCGAAAGACTTAATTAGACTTGTGCTATGGAATCACTGATTTACTTATTTGTAACTTGCAACAAATAAGGCAGTGCCTAAGTATTAAATATGTAAGTATTTACACCAAGTATGAGGTTTTGGTATCTTTTGTACATTCTGGTATTTTTGCTCCGGTTACACATAACTGACATTGGTAGTATCGGTCTCACATTACAGTCTAAATGTCTTAACTAGAGTAACAGTACAAAAAATGAAAATTATTGGAGCGATGGCCACCATTAAAATCTGGTCATGCTAACATACAGCTATGTGAAATATAGCCCTTATTTCAATATAATTAGATGAAGAAATGAGAAAGTCCGATTTCACTACACTACTGTAATCACTGCCAAAAGTATGTTAAATGGAAAGCAGACTAGATACAAAATTATTTAAATATGTTTTCTGTCATTACAAGAAGAGCACCAGACACTAGCCTTGAGATTGGGATCCATACAAAATGCAAAAATATGGTTTTGGTCAGGTAGAGCAGGAGCAACTTTCACTGGAGTTATCCAACCTGAAAGAAAGGGCTTCCTATTGTGTTAATCAATTTGCAGCAATCCTTACTGTTTTAAGCTGGATGAAAACAACTCATGGCTTCCCATAAATATCGATGCACCAATGTTCAGTTACCTGCTACCACTCTAAATTAAAACTTCCACAAAAATACATTAAATTACATGGAAGATGAAAGTAAGTGATAAATAATATCATAACATACATTGCTAGAGTTTGGCCTACTTCACATATTGTCATGTACAGTACTAACTGCATAAAGGAAAGTATCCAAATTAGCAAACATAATAATAAAAGGTTGTTAATGCAACCTGAACTAGTAATTGCATATTGCATTTCTACAGTTATATAATCTTTGCCAACCCTGAAAGCAATAAACAAGTTATTCCGTGAGCAGTAGGTGACTAATTTTCTAAAGATATTTCCTCTCTCCTTCATCCTCCCAACTCCATATTCCAATAATTTGAGCTCTCTCTGACCAGGTCCTGTAAATCAGGCTTAGGAACCAAGAGGCCACATCCTGCAGTTATTGTAGAGTCACATATGTACCGATTGGTGAGCCAGTACACACACGCTGATAACCAAGTGAGCTGCTGCCAAATAGAAAGATGTTACAATGCCCGAGTTTCAGCTCCCTCAAGAGGAACACTCCTTTTTGTCTTTCCTCTCCCCAGACTTCAACCTTCAAAAATCTTGCAGGGATGTAATTATCCTTGAGATGTTTATATCTCTGTAAAATTTGGCAGAAATTGGCCAATGGGGTTAAAAATTATTAGGAGAGAACCAATAGATAAAAAAGATGAATGGAAACAACTTGTCTCCTTAGGGAATCAGGATAAAACCCACAAAATAATCCTATAAATAAGGTAAGGGATATGTATGAGAGTATAATTCAAACTGCTGTGCCATTAACTAGCATAATGCTTTTGGTGACTTTGGGAAAGGTGTATTTCTAAATATACTTTGTTATACTATACTAAAAGGGGTCACACAACCATCACGCCACTCTCTATGAACACTGGAAACTTTTTAAGTATCAAGAACATACTACTTAGGTAGTTCTCAACCTGCTTTTTACTTCCAGACCCCCCAAAATTTCCAATGCATATGAAGACCTTTATGTAGCAAATTTAAGCTAATTCATAATACAGTTACTTTTCCTAGTTATTTGTAGAAATTTTAGGCATACTTTGGAGAAAATAGTTCAAAGACTAGAAGTTGAAAACCACTGTGCAGAATGCAAAATTAGTGCTTGCAGAACTAATCACTCTGACAAAGTTTAAAAGAAAATCACAGCTTTCAGTAAGAGACTAAGTTTAGTATCCTAATGCCATATGTAGGTACTGAAATAATATGACCTGGTTTTTAAAAGAGCTTTTTGCACAGTGTGCTATAACTTTAAGTTGCTGCTTTTGAAAAGCTTGACAGAATTTGTGGATCTTTCCACTGTGAAGAGCTTTCAAACTGAATCACTCTCCAATTAAAACAATTCTTTTGGAAAGTGTCTCTTAAACAGGTAATGTGCTTGCAGTAAAGATGGTGGCTGCAATTTCATTGCCTCAGCTTGCAGTAAACTTCAAATGCTATCTGCAAATATACAACTTGGACTCATATGGGAATGCTCCCATTAAGTTTTATGTCTGAAATGTTGTAATTACTTAATACGCATGCATATACTACTGCACTCGACAGTAAAGAGGTAGATGGCTCAAATATATCCATCCATACGTCCTAGTAGTTCCATAAAAATAGTCTTCCTCTGGTTCATTGATTAAGGACCTAAAGGTTACACCTGTTATTCCTTGTGCTCTATGTGTAAAACACTCATGACAGCTACAATGTCCTTAGGAGGACATGTATATAATTTTACATTTTCTTTGATAATTGTACATATGCATTTCTAGAGACCTCTGCTTTTGCACTGTATACTGTAATTTGCCATCTTGACACTACTGGCCTACTGCTGGGATGATTAATCTTCTAACATTTACTTCTCCTTTTGCTTTCAGTGGAAAGATCTAGCACAAAAATGGAAATAATTTTTTCTTTAAGTCAACTTTCTGGAGGTTTCAATGCCCCTAATGATTTGCTCAGTCCACAGGATTGAAAATGGCATGATCTGTTCTTGTCCAAGTTGGGAACTCAGTGTCTTGGCTTTATCACTTTAAACTAATGACAAGCTTAATGATACTGCCAGTTTCAGTTTATTACTTAAGCTAATCTCCCAATCTGACAAAGCAGGATTCAATGACGGATGATGAATTTGGGGAATTTTTGGTTTGGATTCTGAGTCAGAAACTGAAGATGTACTCATTCACATTTCTAAGCTGTTTCCCAGAAACCATGAAAGCCAGAACATCTTTTTGTTTTGTTTTTAAAGGAAAAAGTGAGATTCTTATGTCACTATATAAAGACATATGCAGAGAGGTTTCACAAACCCAGCGGTCTCACAAGCTTCACTGCACCTCACTGTTGTTCAAAAACTGTGCACTGTTTTTGACCTCTTATATTTTAAAAGTAGTAGGACTTGATGACATTCAGTTTCAAATTTTGTTTGTGTTCATTTCAGGTGTGTCTCTATCTGCCAGAGTATCTCTATCTCTGTCTCTGTCTGCTTTTCTCTGTGTTGGAAAAATTAATGGTCAGATAGAATTGCATATCTCAAATCTTCTTTCCCCTTCACTTTTCCAGAAGCTTTCAGAAAAAACCATCTGATCAGTTCTGATTTGTGTCTGAGGTCTAATTTCATATGTAAAGGGAGAACACAGTAACTGAGAAATAAGAGTGAAAATTATATGGGATGAGCAAGAAAAAAAAGGAAAATTATGGAGTCTATTTTTTATCCCTTGTGGTTTCTTGAGTTCTTTCAGGTTCTGTTATATGACTGCAGTAAGCTTAAAGTGATTTAAGATGCAAAGTTCGAAGACAGAAACAAGGAACCAGAAACACTCCTGAATTTATAGCATGTAGACTTTATGGTGACAATAACACGGATAAAGTATAGCTAACTGTGAAGTGAGAGTGTTATCTCTGTGTAGTAAAATGGAACAAGCTTATTTACGTTTCTTTACCATGTTCTAAGAAATGCCTCCCCCCATCTATAAGCAAGTTGCCTGAGTTCTCATAAAATTTTGATCTAGGTGTAATGAGTATTTCTCTATGAAAATCATTGGAATTGGCTTAATCTTTCTAAAAATTCAACCATATTGCTTACTGCTAATTATGTCTGCATTTAGAAGCCCAGAGTAGATATTTCTGCTTTCCAAAATTTTCATCAGAAAATTCTGAATATTAACCACCAACCCAATTTTGCTTCACATTAAAAAGAGTGAATTTCCGTTTTGATGCTGTAATCAATACGAAATGATCAGACCCAACTTTATGTGTAACACATTGATATAAAATAAGAGGGTAATATGTACTTTGACCAACATGTGATGGCAGTCCTAAAGAACTTCTGTTCTCCGATCAGCTAGACCCTGGAATAGGTCTTTAAATGCACTGCACTGCAACTTGTCAGGAAATACTAGAAGACACAGAAATATCCAGGGGATTTCCTGACTCTGGAGTGATGTGTTATTTTGATTTACATTAAAACAGGTGCTCATTAGGACTATTGTATGTAACTACACAATTTACCTAAATAGATTTTTTAAAACATTATTTACCTTCAAAGATTTTTTTTTTCTTTTTAGCATTAGAATGCTCATTAGAATTTGCTGACTGGTACCTCTTTGCTACAGCAGGGGCAATGAATCATACAAACACTCTATTGCAGTTGTTATATTCAGTTCAAATATCCAGGGCAAATATATTTTATAAGGTTTGTTCTTTCAGGACCTTGGGGAATGGAGTTCAGAAACTAATTGTATTTATTTAAGCATCACCGATTTCTTTGGTGATTAAGAAATAAAAAGAGTAGTTTGCTTTACCTCTGAGTTGTGCCCTGACAGAAGCAGCTGACACAGCCCTGGAATTCCACCTTCTGTCCTGGTTGGTTTCCTCCAGGAGGATCATCTGCCTCCTGTGGGGAGGCTCGCCTCTCTTTCCTGTGATGGGGACCTGCTGGTGAGGTTTCCAATCACTGTAGTACACCAGGGATTCAACAGCTCTTCCAACATTGGGCTGCAGGTCAGCATCTGCTCCTGGACTCACAAAACCTGAGCAGGGATCCACTAAAGGCACATCATCCCGGTGTGGGAATAAAGGGTAATTCGGCTCTACTAGAGAGGTGAATGGATTGAATTTAAGGAAAGAATTACTGTTTCTCTCTTCAAAGCTGGCAAAGCCATGTCTGTTGTCAGGACCTCTCACAACAGGCATGCACATCTTCTTTAACAGACTTCGATACTGTTGGCGATCCATCTTGTGAACTGGTTCAACTGACAAGGCAGACTTTTTAAAAGCACTTGCCTGCCTTTCAGCTCCACGGGAAACCACGGTCATTCTCTTCTATTGTCCTTATGTGGCACTAAAGTTAAAAGACTCCACTTGCTCCTGTTTCTCCAAGTTTCTGAAGTCCTAGCCAACAAACCACAGTAAAACTAGAGGTCATCCTCCAGAAGATCAGTTCACAGAAACCATAAAGAGAAAGGCAGTGGTTTAAGTAGTGAATTCTTTCCTGAAAAGAGATTTATCAAGTATGGTACAAAAAGAACAGAGCCACTGAATAAGCAGAGAGGTTTTTTGTTGCTTGGTAACGATGGAAACCACCTCGCAATGAAATGTCTCCTGGTGTGAAACATGGTTCATGCGTACCACAGTAATCTAGTCCTTCAAGTGAATACAGACAGCAACTTCAAATGGTACTACCAATTACTTATTCATCTAGTAGAGGCAAAATTAAGAAGTTTTCAATCTTAATAAGAATTATATGGTGTTTTCATTTAAGTATTTTATAATAAGCTATTCTGTTGGTATCTACATCACAAATACGAATTAAATTGAAACACAGATTTAACACAAAATTTATCAAACACAACCGCAGATAAATGCAAATCCAGAAAACTTAACAATTATTACTTGGAATAAGTAAATCACATTGACACCAGAGTTTCCCATGCAGCTTAATTTCCTCCAGAGTTTTGCCATTTGTTCTATCAGGTTGGCAGTCTCAAGTCAGAATATGCAGCACTCATTTCCTAATCCCAAGCTCGACCGTCTTCAGTTAGCGATCTAAACAAAAGCAGTCTGATTTAGAGAGGTCCTCTCTGCATGAATTCAGTGCCATCTGCAAAGGTCTGGCACTTCGGAAAAATCAAACTACATTTATTTGGACAGCTCAGTTCACACTATGGGGGCCTTTATTTTGTGGCCTTGTCAGGAAAAATTAGGGCACAGAGTCTGATCATTCTCTCATTTATATTAGTCTCACACAGATGTAACTTCCCTGAATTCCTAACTTGCTTTTGATCAACATGAAATCAGAAATGGGCCTAACATTTATTAGAGTACAGGTTTATAGTAATAAAAAATTGTGTTCCATAATGCAGAATCATGCTGGGGGTTTTTTTGGAGTAGTTTGCTGATGAATCAGAAAAAAACAAATAAATCAAGCTTCATTCTTTATTAAGACAGCTTTCATATATAGGTCACAAGAACTAAAATGCGTAAAAAGTGACAGCTGACAACATTGTATATGCAGCACCGGCATTGTAAGGCTAAGCCAATACTACGAAAACACAGAACTCTTTGTCTGACACATCTTATGTCTACTTTCTATCATACTTGTACATTCAAGTTAGTGAAAAGATACTTCCAAAATTTGACTTCTGCCAGTAACAAGCCTTTAAAGTGCTATACTGCTGTCTGTATTTACTGACACTCAGTAATCTCCATACCAGATATAATTAGTTTTACACTAGAAATAACATCCAGTGTTGCAGACTGACCTTTTTCTCCACTTCTTACCTTCTCCTGGAAAGCTTTAGAAAGAGATGGCAGGAGAGGCGAAGACATGGGACCCAGGTAAGGTACAGGATGGAAGACATTGCAAGGATGACTCATGTTTTGTTGCATTCATTTTGCAGAGTGAATCCAAGCTTTATCTTGGATTTTGTTGACAGGATTCTATCCAGATTATCCTGGGAAGTAAATTTGCCTAGTAAGGCTGAATTGTTTCTAGTGTCAATTTTCAGAAGTGATCCATGCTTTAAGGAAGCACATGGATGAGCCAGTCATATGTCTAAGCTAGTCCTCTTTACTAGATGTCTGCCTTTTGTTTTGCTTCAGGATTCCTGTGGAGCAGTCTTCTTGGTTCTTTGATGTTAACAGCTATTTTTCTTCTCTGGCACAGTAACAACATACCAAATTTTCCAACAGAGTGAAGTTTTCCTGCCAGACTTCATTTGCTTCCCAAATAACTCATTTTCTCCCCCTCCATTCTTTCACAAAATCCTTTCTCTAACCTACTACAAATTAAGTACTCTTATGCCACAGAAACCTGCAAATGTCCTGGGATTCCAGACACTTTCTTAATTGCCTTTTTGTAGCAGTAAAGACTGAGTAGCACAGCTGTAAATGCTCATGACAGTGACTAGATCAGCACAGTTCTTTGGTTTTGCAATGGAAACTTCTTTACTCTCTCCTTTTTTTGGGAACGACTGCAGCGAGCATGAAGCAAGTTCACTGTACCTTTGGCCACCGCCGGGTGCAGTCTGCACCGCCGTCGGCCTGG